TCTCCAGAACTGGCCAGAACCTGCTGAATACCACCTCTGGTTCCAGTCCTGGTTGGGTCTTACTCTTAAAATATCTCACAAATTTAGCTCCTGGGTGCCTTCAATCTGCCTCCCATGATGGCTGCTCTGAAGCAAAATAAGAAATGTTCATTCTTTTAACTGTTCTGATCTGTCCTGCCTTTCCTCAAAGAAATTAAGTAGTCTCTCTGTTATCCTCATAACCAAATGTGAAATAGTGACTCTCTGTATGTGAAGCAAGTTGTACTTGTTGGCGTGAAGAAAGCATAGCCTTTACTTTTAAGCTGTATGTGATATCCATATGAATATCAGTAAATGTTTATTTTATTAGATTAAAAGCAGGAAAGTCCTCATGCAGTTCCTTCTGATCGCATTTTCTTGTCCTCTTTTTTATTAGCTTTTAGTCTTAAAGATTATTGCAAAATCAGAATACTACTGGCATTCTGGAAGATTATTAGCAACAGGTTTGAGGAGGCCCGAGGACTTTTCCCACAACAGCATAATAATGCAAAATTGTTGCGCCTTATGATTTCCATATATCTTCTTATGACTGCCTGCTATGTAAACAGTACATTACAATGGGGTACATCATGAGGAAAAATCATGAGGTCCTTTTGACAAACAAAACACTTTCTATATAGCGTGGATAGAATATAGGGTAAAAAAAATAAAACAAATCCAGATGGGATGAAAGTCCTACTAAAGAATGAGAATGAAATTATGGGCAATGTGGATAGGAACTAAGCTGATTATTGCTATTGTAAATTATTCCCCACCCCCTTCCCTGTAATTTTGTTCTTTTTTTTTTTAAGCAGAACTTTCATTCTGATTTGATGTTTTTGTGTGTGCATAATGTACTGCTTATTTTATATATGGAGCAAGCCCTCCCTTCTGAGAAGGCCGAGATTTCAGAGTCACACAAGTTTTAATAAATGACTATACCCATACTTTTAGCCAGCTGTCAGATCTAAATTTGTAGTGTGAGTGGGGCTTCGGGCTCTTCCTACTTACTGGGAAGCCCCTGTCCACCATTCACAGGATCCACACATTATCTCTCCTCACTTGTTCTCACTCACCGTTGTCAGTCAATTACTCAATCAATTTCCTTGCACACTTTTACATCTCTCACACACTTTCTCAATCCAGCATCATTCTACCACATGAACTACCTATTAAGTCAGGGCAATTTTCCCCCACACATCTTACAATGTCACACCAGACCATAGGCCCTTGTAGATAAGGAGTCTGTGTAATGCCAGGGTGTCAAACTTGATTTCATTGAGGTTGTGTTGGACTCAGGGGGGTGGGGAGCATGGCCAGGGTGGGCGTGGCCAGCTCAGAATCATTTGTGTCAGGGGCACCTATGGTGGCTCGAGCCCTTTGCCAGCGAAAACGACTCCTGAGCTCTGTTTTCAGCTGCAACGGTCTTCTGCAACCCTCTGCCAGCAAAAAATAGAGCTCTGTTTTTGCTGGCAAAGGCACCACGGACCAGTCCTTCACTGTTTCCAGGGCAGCCCCGCAGGCCAGATCTAAGCACCCCGTGGGCCAGATCTGGCCCACAGGCTTTGAGTTTGATACCCCTGGTGTAATGCCTGACCAAGTACGAGTCAGACATTATGTGTACTATGTGTGCCCGTTGCTGGATCACTCTGCTATGCGAGCCCAAATAGCCAGGGAGAGGATTGTGAGTGACCCTTTGTGTCGTTAAAATACATGCTTCAAGAATGGATAGCAAGGCATCTGAAAGCCAGTGTCCCCAGGACATGTGAATTAGATCTCTAGAACAAAACCTGTCTTGTTAAGATTGGTGGAATGCACAATGCCACCAAAATAGGCTGCAAAGCTCTTTGAAATGTGCCGGCAGATTTTTAAGAACTCAGTCTCTTTCTAATTACAAACTGAGTACATAACATTTGCATCCTGACATCTAGAAAGGGGACGGCTCATTAATTAGCAAGGAAGGAAGTGTCTGATTTAAAGAGGAGGAGCTAGAAACTTTGTCATTCCTTTAAAAGTATGTTTTCCCATTGGCCTGAGCCTCTGAGCCATCCAAGGGAATTCTCAGTGATTTCTACACAAACACACACACACACACACACACCCCTACTGTGTGCACTAAGGACATTAAGCTTCACTGAGTAGCTTTATTATCATACATTAACCTTAACAATGTAGAACCTTCTTTTTCTGGAGTGCAAGGGTAATTAAATCTGAACAATCTTGGCCTTTCCAAGAGAGAATGGACAAAAATTACAATGGTTAATTAACCCTCCTTTCTCCCCTCCTGCCAGAAGATTGTATCCATTTCCAAAGTCGGATGTTACATGTGATTACTGCAAAATGCAACTGAATTACAGTGTATCTTGACTCAGTGACCAAATTTATACCTTGCACTGGAAATTAAAATAATCTTAGGGCTTATTTGGGTATTTGATTTAGTTTACAGCATCTTCCCAAAGCTGGTGCTGTCTAGATAAAACTATAACTCCCACAAATAGCCAACTATTGGCCGCACTGATAGGAACATGGAGCTTTTTTTCTTTTGTTATGTGTACCTTTGGTTCAATGCTGACTCCTGGTGACTGCCTGGATAAATCTCGGCACTTTTCTTGGTATTGTTTTCAGAAGTGGTTTGTTCTTGCTTCCTTCCTTGAGCTGACAGAGAGTGACTGGTCCAATATGGGTTTGTGCCCAAGGCAGAACCAGAATTCACAGTTTCCTGTTTTCTAGCCCAAAATGGTTCTTGATGGGAACTACAGTTGAACTGAAATACATTGAGGAAAACGCAAGCAAATGCTAGAGGCAAAGCCTAGCATCAACATGCTTGAGCAGCTTCCAGCCTCCAGCTGCCCTGTTAGAATCTGCTCAAGCTGATGCCTCCCTGTGCCCTCCCTAGGTACTGCCAAGGAATCTTCTTCCTACAATGCTGGCGGAGATTTCTCTGGTGAGATTTCTATATGAAAGGAAATAGCAGTACACATCCCCTCTAAATGTGATGAAAGTTGTAATGAAATAGAAGAAGATTAGTTGGTTGGTTGGTGATAAACAGATGATAGATAGATAGATAGATAGATAGATAGATAGATAGATAGATAGATAGATAGATAGATAGA